TAAAAACATCAGTACGAAAATATGTACGGACAATTCGAGTAACGAAATGCATTCGTGAGTAACGTTTCGGTACTCGGTACTAGATGGCGTACCCGTTACTCAGTACCGAATACATACGGTTTGCTACAGCAAATTAGCAAAAATAGTTCATAATAGTAAAAATCTTTGAAAATAGCAATGGAAAGAATATCATATGTATCATTTTTCACACATATTTGTGGCAATTCATTTTTATATAACATATATAATAATCGACGGAAATCTTTTTAAACAATTATGGGGAAGAATTTTCCATTATTTTAAATTTGGTAATAAATCGCCAGAAATATTAGAATAATTTAATAATAAATGTAGCCATTAAAAAAACTAAGTAATATCGCAGATCATATAATACTGTAGTACGTAATATTTACCTAAACATAAATATTTATTTTTACTGCTTTAGTAATAAGTAATTATGCCTTAAATGCCTATGTTTTTTTAACTACAGTTAATTCATATAATTATATATCCAATTACTAATTAGATACAGTAGTGAAAATATTATCAGCATTATACCGTACAAGGAGGCTAAAGATTGTTAAAATGATATAAACATGTTTAAGATAGATATTTTTTTCCTGTCAGTCCTTTCTCTTTTCTCTAGATTTTATTCTATAATATTCATAAGCCTCTAATATTGTATTATAAAACATAGTACCTATATTTATAAAGTTAAATATTTTTAATATTTTGTCTATGTCACTAATATTTATAACCCCTCAACTGTCGCTGTCATTTTACAAAAATATGGCGCATCTGTCGGCTACTTTTCGAGGGCCTGCGCGAAATATGTACGCATCATTAAAATAACAATATTTATTAAAATTTTATATATAAGCTATATATAAAGCTTATATCGTTAGAATCGTTTTAAAATAAACTAAGAATATATATATAAATAAGATCAATTGTATTTAATATTATATAGTTAATTCTAAGTTGAAATTACTGTAAGTGATTTTTTATCAGTATATAGTATGAAAACAGGAATTATTATAAAATAAAACTATTATTTTAAAAACTTTTAATTTCATTTAATTATAGATACAATATTTTATATTAATTGATTAAAACAACACAACTCACTGTACATTTTTTTTACACCACAAGCTTAACAATAACATGTTTCAATTATGGCGACTTAGCGCCGGATAAAAAAAGAGGTGTTTTTTATACTTGAATTCTAAGAGCATTGAAGATCAAGAGGTTTAGGATAATCATTTATATTATAGTTTAGTCCACGTACGTTATACTGACAAAGTTTGAGTTCTTATAACTATTTAGTTTACGAGAATTGAACAATAAACCAAACACTAGAAAATAAATGCTAAAAAATGTCATCTCGAACTTTGGATCGCAGAGCAAATTCTGTTTAAATTTTCTTTAAAATATATTTACACCTTACAATTAAGTGATATTTCAAAATGAAAAATATAATAAAAAGACATGTTGCCTTATTAGAATATTTCAGAAATCAATTCTGTAAACTAACAATTTTACTATAAGAATTACAAGGGACAGCTAAAAAAGTATGGATACGACCAATTCCATCACATCTGAACAGATTATGTTATGGAAATAAAATGATAATAAAACATCAATTCAAAATAAAACAACTTTAAATATTAATTCGGAGAGGAATTATTTTTTTTCTACTGTTTTTAACCTCCGACGCAAAAACTACGAGTTATTTGTTTGACGTGCTGTGTGTTGTGTGTGTGTCTGTCTGTGGTATGGTAGCTCCCGAAGAGATCATCCGATATTGTTTTTGTTTTTTCTCTGAAAGGTGAAAAATTTGGAAGTGTTCTTAGCTATGTTTGATGAAAATCGGTCCAAGATGGCCGCCGCCACAAAATAGCGGATTACATATTTTTTCACAACTCCCTCAATATGGGTATCAAATGAATTAGCCTTAACTAGTATAATTTTCGAATCCAAGATGGTCGCCACCACAAAATGGTGAATTACATGTCGGGTATATCGGTATGAATTACTATCGGTAATATATATTACATTTTGGATGCCTTTTGTTAGGTAAAGGACACTTTTTAATGAATATTGCTTGCAGGTAGAGGCTTTTATACATATTTATTTTAAATGAAAAAAAAAAGATGAACACTTATCCTAAAAGCAACAAATACTAATTATTACTAAGTAAAGATACATAAGTAACTATACTAACCTCCTCCCATATAATGTTCACCACGTCTTCGATGATCAGTCATGTCGTCCAAACGAACAAAGGCGTGGTATAATATATAAATCAGATATTTTCGAAGTCAGTTCCAGCCGATGCAAAGTAAATCTAATATATTTCGATACATAAAATTCATATTTACGTATTAGATATTCATATCTTAAAATATTGTCGGCTGGCACCGACTTCGAAAATATCTGATTAGGTATCTATTCTAAATGAAAACCTCCGTTTAGCTATTTTACACATTTTAGTGCCTGGAAGTTTTTTTTTAATAAACAGTTATTTATACTACACCCTTGTTCGCTTTCGCTCTATGGTGTACATTGCCTACAATTGGTCTTTCTTCTTCACCCTCCGATCATAATATTGTAATCTAATAAGGCATGTTTTAAGCAATTTTGGTGCAGCTTTAATAAACATAAAATGCAACATGATACTAGTTTAAGAGATGAAAATAAACTTATTTTTTACCCGACTGCGCGACGCAAAGGAGGGTAATGTGTTTATCAGTCTATGTATGTATGTATGTACATATGTATGTATGACACTCTAGAGACCAAACGCGTGGGCCGATTTCTATGATTCATATGTCGTTAGTTTCGTATTTACGCGAGTGTCATAAGCTATATATAGCCTATAATACTCGCGTTATAGTTAAAAATTAAAAATAGTTAAAAAGTAAAATGGCGGATATCAGGCGCCAATTTGTCTGAAAAAATTTTTCCAAATCAATCGAATGGGCTCTTAAAATAAAGGTTTTTGGTGATCACTAAAAAAATTAAGAGAACACAACTTACATGTTTAAAGGTAATTTGGGATAAGAAATTGCTAAATATTAAGTCTTTACCTATGAAATTGTCGTTTAATATACAGAAAGTTAAAGTATTGTATTTTTATAAATATTTTTCATTTCTATTAATCAAAATATGCACCCATGCTATTGATGCAATTTGATGCAAGTGGACCAATATTGTTTTGATGCTAACGTTGAAAGCTGCTGCTATCTCAGCCACAGATTGAGTATCGTCAGCTTCCACTATCGCCTTTAATGCGTCGTTACTGATTTTAGTTTTCGGGCGACCACGGGGTTAATTTTTTAAGATCAAAATTTCGATGTTGGAAGTGTCCAGACCAATAACGAGTTGTGCGTTCGTTTGTAGTGTTCACTCGGCACTCCGTACGCGTCATTAATGTTGCGAGCCGTTTGTGCGGGATTGCTACCGCGATGGAACTCGTATTTCATAATTACTCGTATTTTTATTGTGTTTATATTGATAAAAACAAACAAATGTAGTGAAAACAAAACACTAATTAATAAACAAACGACTGAATTCAAAAATAGAACTCCATACTTTTAAAATAAAATTCATTTGAATTTAGAATTTATTGCCGGCCAATCATAAATTACGTTTCTAATGGCCAGTAAGTATTGTAGAACGGCAATTTCAAAAGACCTATTATAACTTCAAATTTCTAATAAAATTAAAAAGCTGTAAATAAAAAAATACATTTCATCCTTGTCGCGAGATGTACATGTGTATGTCACCAACTGCATAATACTTCATTCCTTCGTCAACTTGTTTTTATCTTTTTAGTTAGCTGTTATGCAGTTAGGTTTTTTTATTTTTATAATGTTTTAACGTAATGTGTAAGTTGAACTTATATCTGTAAAATAAAAATCGTACTGTTGTAAAAAATTCAATTTTTTTTTAGAAAAACAGTTAAAATATTTATAAAATATTAAATTTCAAATAATCCTAAAAAACATCAATGAAAATATTCTAATGAATTTTAAAAAAAGCCTTCCCCATACTATCCAACAGCCGTCAAAAATGGCGGCTCGAATTTGGGTTACGTGTTATTATATTATTAATTACTTAAAATCTAATAGAAAATTTACAAATTCAATTATACGTAGTTATTTAGTTATAAATTTAAATCATGTTAATAAAAATATTATGCTATCACTAGTGTATTTTTTATTCAGAAAAAGTGAAAATATAAGGACTAAGCGCGCGTGAATGCTTACGATGTTTGACAAATATAACAATTTCTGTATAAAATCTCTATTCAATACACATCCTATGAAATAAAAACTGTTAATTACTTACCCTTCCATCATATTCCAATCCTTATACTAATAATTTTACACTATTTTGTTAATTTTTTACTCACAAGTATTGAGTTAAAAGATCGCCAAAATTTAAATAAATTGTCTGCACAAATTACAATAATTTATGTTATTGGAGTTATTACTTTTTTGACATGTAGTATGATATTATTGCTTGTATTTTTCTTTACACGTTACAAAAGTTAGATAAAAATAAATATAGTTTAAATGCGAGAAATCACACATTAAATGACATCGGGACCAATCGACCTTTAAAAGGTCGCTTGACAGACAGGGGTGGTTTTGACATCGACCTTTAAAAGGTCGATCGACAGACGAGGTAATAAAAGAATAAAAAAGGAAGAAGTATCCTAAGTTTAAAAATATATAAAATGGCATCTATTTTTTTTTCAATGATAAAAATATATTGTGATGTATGTGAAGTAACTAGACTAGCAACATTGCCTATATCTATGGACGGGGAACAACCGAATTTCATATTAACTGAGGGTGATTTACCTAAACTCTTTAACATTGATATTTTACTATAAAAATTGCATTTATTGCAAGTTTATTTGCAACATTCATTTTAAAAGGCTGTAAGTTGATAATATTTTATATTTGTATTATATCCAGGTTACAGCAACGATGGCGTCGAAATTCAACAAAAATTGTATATTTACTGGAGTTGCCGATTCGTTTTGCTTATCGTGTCAAGTATATCTGAAAGTTAAAGATTTAAATAATCACATTGAATCATCAAAACATAAAGATACCTTGAAATCCGTGGGATATGCAGAAATATACAAGGATAATTTGATTTGGAAGGTAAAATCACAGTTATATTAATTTCTCATTATTTACTTATCTCGGAAATCATTTTGCTCCTAGAGTTTAAAATATCTACCTATAAAGTCGTGAGTTCGATTCACGACGTTGAGACTAGCATAATCATGGACCGTGGATATTTCGGTACCAATGGATTTAATATATTCATGTACAAAACTATTGACACTATTCCTACAAAATATACATAAATAAATATGTTCAGACATTCATACACAGCACCATTTAGTTCCACGGTAAGCTACGAGGCTTGTGTTATGGATACCAGATTGATACACTACACATACCTATGTAACTGTAAATACATATATATTATAAATATAAACACCCATGACTGGAGAACAAACATTCGTGCTCATCACACAAATGAATTTCCCCAGCGGGACTCGAACACGCGACCGTTGGTTCAATAAGTAGGGTCACTACAAACTGACCCAAACGTGTCGTCAATATATTAAATTTTGTAGAAATGTATAATATAGGCTATAAATTGCAACAGTTTAATGTATTTCAATTGAATCAAAAATTTCATATAAGAATATAATTAACTATAATTAATTGTTTAGGTAACGCAGGGCTATTACTGTGAATTATGCAATGTGGTGATCCAGACAACAGTCAAAGTCCGCATTCATGTTAGTGACCAGACTCATATAAATAACAAAACACAATGCCATATAAAAGGACATGAAGAAGGAGTCATTGTTTTTAATGAGATTTTCATTGAAATGAAAGCATGGAATGGTTTGAGCAATGAATCTTGTTTCATTTGTAATATTGACTTTGACAATGATGAAAGTCATAAAAATGATACTAAACACATTATAAATCTTATCCAGAGTAAGTTGGAGCTGAAAGAATATAAAACAGTTTATCGAAAGGTAGTATAATTACTTATTCTATCCATATTATATTTCATTTTGCTAACAATAACAAATAGTTGTTTACTTTACTTAAATACAATTATAATTATTATTTATATATAAGATTATAATGCAATGTTTTTATTACTTTTAGATTGATGGCAATCTAGTGAATTGCTTGATTTGCAATATAATTGTAGATTTGGAATCTAAGGAGGCCCACATTAAAACTTCAGAGCACCTAAAGGAGTATTCAAAGTGCAAGGAAAATATAAAAAAAATAAACTTTTATGAACATGCCTTTATTACCCCAAGTGATACTAAAGATAAAAATTCCAAAAATAGTGTCGAAGAGACCAACGGAGAATCAGTGGTAGTGCAAAATGAAAACAGTACAAATAAAACTGAATTAAAAATGGCTGATTCCAATAATATAAAAGAAAAGCCAGAGACTTGCATAGCAAAGGTCCAAAATGCAACAGATGCAATAGACAATGAAAATGTACTGCGGCCCATTGAAGCTCTGAAACTAGCCATGGATTTTGCTAAGCAAAACAATTTAAAATATAAGAGAAACAGTACATATTGTCAAGTGTGTAATGTTAGAATTTCTTCTACCCTTAAAATGATGAAGGAACATGTATCAGGAAATGATCATAAAAAGAATGTTGAAAAAATGGAAATTTCAAAACAGAAAAAATCTATGAAACCGATGATAGATTTCATAAACAGTCAAACAGATATTCAAAATATATTTCATCAGGATGTTGTTATAAATGATGAAATTTGTATAACTAATCTGAGCTTTAACATGATAGGTGAATCTGGTAGAGGATTGAGATGTCATGTTTGTGAAGTATCCATCTTACCGCCACACGTTGAAGCACACAAACGAACATACAAACATAATGATGCTATGCAAGTGACACCTGTTCTAATAGAATTTAGAAATGAATTCATAAGAGAGGTAAGTGTATACTTAAAGATATTGAAGTTGTATAGAATGAAAAGTAGCCCTCTACATTTTCACTTACTTTTGGGAAACAGAAAAAAATGTTTCTCTTTTAGAATATTATTTAGATAAATATTGTTTTGTATTGGATTCACGCTAAATTAGTTCAAACTTCAAGTCTCAGTTCATGTTATAAATAGGGGGATTATTTGTTTTATATTCAATATCATAATAGTCATTCATTATTTTAAAGTTGATAATTTAATATTTCAGGTTAGATCTGGAATTTTTCACTGTGGATATTGCAATTTTATTGAAGCCACTTTGGATGGAATGCAAAACCATTTGAAGTCTATTAACCATTCTGAAAAGAAATCGTATTGCCGAGGACGTCTAAACAGATATTTGCCAGAAATTATGGAAGAACGTGAAAAAGAAAAATTTGTGGCTTTTATGAGAATGATGCTTCACAGAGGTTGCTAAGCATAAAGCAAGCGAAAAACAAAAAGTTATTTTTTACATTTCATAAGGATAGAATTTCAGCATAATGTAACATAATTTTACTAAAATATACTTATTATGTTCTCATTTTTTTAACATTCGTGATTCAAATTTTGATTCTCATTTTAAATGAAGAATAATAACAATTAAAAGTATTTAGATTTATTTTATAATGTATCTATATTTAAGTGTTAACCAAACATTTCTAGATTTTTATTCTCAAATGCTAAATAGATCTTATATTTTGCTTTTAATGTTAATGTTAAATTAAGGTTTTAAGTATTAATTATGATATTTTAAGTTAAAAAAAATTAAACATTTTAAATAAAAACTTTTATTTCTCCATTTTATTTCCCAAATCCCAACCGAACATTTTACTTTACTCTTTACATAATAAGTGGGTAGCTGTACCACAGATGATTGATGATGATGATGTTCTAGCCGTTTCCGGCTACGGCGGCCAATCTCATTGAGATTAGCCTACTGCGCAGGAGATATAGTGCTCAAGTGTACGCGCAGACACAACGTGCACTCTATTCCTATCACTCTCATACTCCGGTAGGACGACCACTCGATACGACCAGTGAGAGTTAAGGCGCAGGACCGACGGCTTTACGTGCTCTCCGAGGCATGGGGGTGAAACACCGCTAACTTCCCAACTCCGGGCTGTTACTGAGACTTACTATACAGAAAGACTCAATAACTAAACTTGGCCCGACCCGGGAGTCGAACCCAGGACCTCCGGGTGTGCAGCCGTACATGCTAGCCACTACATCACCGAGGCACAAATCATATAATACTATACTAATCTAATATCGTCGCCTAATCGTGTCTCATCCCATTCAAAGCAATCGGGAAGAATTTTGCCTTTTTCTCCGGCCAGATGTCGCGATCAGTATAGCCCAAAGTATATTGGAAAGCTCTACAACGTGGATGGAATTTTTTCATTTTATTTAAAACTGGTGACTCACCCTCGCTTCGCTCGGGTTCGTCCTTGCTTTCCAATACATCCCCTCATCCCCATTTTCACCCCCTTAAGGGATGATTTCCGGGATTTAAAGTATCTTATGTCCTTCCCAGGGTCTCAAACTATCTTCTTACCAAATGTCACCCAAAATCGATTCTCTAACTCACAAACTTTACCTCTTTATAATATTACCCCTTTATACACATATTCTCTGTTTTCCCTTTTTTCTTTAAACAGAACTTCTAGATTGGTATCCTTTTCAAAATCAATGAACTCATCAAACAATTCTGAGGAATTACAATTTAAAACGGAAGCCAACTCTGAGATGAAACTTCAGATGGGCCAATAACAACGCATTGTACAATTACGCATGCGGCCCGCGGCTACGCAGGTTGAGTATAGCTGCCTTAAACGGAAAAGCCTTTCGGTTTGGGGTCAATGACTAAAACCGGTTAAAAAATTGAACGGGTTTCCGAGCCCAAGTCACAGTCTACTAATCCATACAGTCATCAAACGAAGGCATCTAGACAGGCCCCGTTTTCCAATTATAGAGCAAAATGCCGCACTTAGGCGCACAAACACGAACAATGCGAAAAAACACGTCTTATATTTTCTGCTACTGCGTTGGTTGGTCACGCCAAAGTAGTAATTTTCAATGTGCTCGATTGTGTGGAGAGTTGCTGTAGTTGAAAAATTCGAATCTGAGCATTATGCGCTTTAGTGCTGTAATTGGAAAACAGGAAGAGCAAGCTTGCAGCGTGCGGAGGAGGCGTATCCGACTGTCATATTAACTTTTAAATTACAGTCGCGAAACCGCTTTAGAGTTGACGGGTATATAACTCGCGTCATCTAAAAAGAACGCTGGCTGTCATGCTGCGCAGAAGCGATTTATCGGTCAAATTGTTGGTAAGAAGCGGGGCGCGGGGCGGCTCGGGGCATGCGCCGCATGCTTGCCGGCGCGCTATTGGTTCGTCAGATCGAAATACCATCGCGCACACAAAAGTTTTTAATTACGAAATGGTTTTATATATAGAAAAGAGAAAAATTGTTTTTGACGTATAGTGTTTTACAAAGAGAGAGTCTAATAATAATTCGTAATAATTTAATTTTTTATAAGTAGATTAAACATTCTACACTGAATCAAACATATTTTAGTAATGAATAGAATTCTATTTAATGATATTCTATCTAATATATTTTTCAATGTCCCTACCAATAACTAATATATGAAGCTGCGAGCGAAATGCTATGAAAAATAAAATAATAGGCTTAGTACTTTTGTGCGCGAGTATACCCATGCGCAAACATACCCTCTCCACTTTCTTCCAGCGTTCTTTTTAGATGACGCGAGATATAACTGCAACTTGCCAGAAGATAACACAATATAACGCACTAATGCAGTGCGTTATTTTTGAACGCGTTAGTCAAGAAAATTGGTTTTATTCATAGCCCTTGCATTTGACATCGAACCAATGGGAAATGGTATACTGTATAGATTTTTATACTGGGCCTGAGTAGTAAGACACCTGTTAAATATTTATACTTAAAAAAATAAGAAAGACGGAGTATTAACAATATTTATTGACGCATAAAATAAAAATCTAAAATATGAGCTTAACTTTTATTCTTCAATACACTCCGTTTTTTCGTTCTTTTAATCTTAGGTTGTATGTATCATTGAAATATAGTTCCAAAGTTTACATAAACCATAGAATTAGAACTTACAAAAGATTCTATATAAATTACGACTTTTGTAGATATATATATTTACTTAAGGACATACCAACATATTTGTTCATTAACATTCATACAAAATTCGATGAAATGATGAAAATAGGTCTAAGAGACACAATGTAGTATTTATATATTACATTATATGTCAAATTTGTTGCACTATGAGATATACATAACAACAGACATACTATATAGTTATACAAAAAAATCCGTGTCACTATAAAGGCCGAACCACACTATAGTACCGATCACAGTCCGTTCTCGGTCCGATATCGGTCTGGTAATTTTTTTATACAAGAAACATTGCTGGAGCGTGATTCGACCGGAACGTGAGTCTTACTGATAGTGTGAATGCACTCATTGTTTCTTGTATAACAATACTTTACCAGACCGATATCGGACCAAAAGCGAACCGTGATCGGCACTATAGTATGGGGCGGCCCTAAATCACATACAAAGTGTGTGTGCGCATATTATTTAAAAGCAACTAGTATTCAACAATATTGGCTCCAATGGCTAAAGTCCGATCGCGACAAAGGAAGAATTTAGTACATTGATCTGCAATTATCTGTCAGTCGCTCCCGCGTAAATATATTGCTGTCGAGCTCGCACAGGTGCATTGACCGTCGCACAGATACATTTAAGTCATTGCAAACCTTTTACCTACGAGAGTAAGGTCTGTTCTTGTACGATTTTTTTTTCATTTTTCTCTTTTAAATATTTCATATAACACGCACTTATTACAAAAATGTTCTTTCTTAGATTTATGTGAATATTAGGCATTTTAAATAAAACTATTTTTCGGAAAACTGTCTGTAACAAGCCAAAATCTTACATTTCTCCCATGACCATGATTGTTGTAAAGCATTCGAAACGTCGGGAACCAAAACTCAAAATAAATCCACGAAATAAACAGAAAAGATAATTTTATTTAAAATACAAAAAATGTTTATGCCCACTGTCAGTAGTCAAAGAGGTCATTGTACGAAATTCTTTCTCGCGGTCGGACTCTAGTAAGATCAAAACATTCGCGACACAACATACTTACCGAAAATTTACATACATACATACATACGTATATAATATATATAAGAACAAATATTTTTAACTTAAACTAAATCACAAATCCGTCATAACACTGGAAAGTATACAAATAGTGGTATAACACAGCCAGCAAATAACAAAAACACAGGTGCATTGGAAATAAGATTCACAATATTTATACTAGCGGCTCAACTTCGCTTCGCTCGGGTTCGCCTCTAGGAAGACAAAAAACAAACCTTTCCCACGGTAACCGTACATTTTTCCCGGATAAAAAGTATGTATTATTCCAGACTATAATATATCTCTCGTGCCAAATTTCATCCAGAGCCGGTCTGGTGTGAAATAGTAACAAACATCCATACTCATAAACTTTCACATTTATAATATTAGTATAGATTTAGGCTTAGCTCGGATAAGTTGTAATGTAAACAAATTAAAATTTACAATTGTTTGATATAAAATAGTTTGATGGCTTCCCTTTTATAATTAATCAGGTTAAACTTCAGTTGATAGTCATCTCAATGCTTAATTGTCCAAACAACCAATTTACCGAAAGAGTTTTTAGTACATAATTATTGACTTTTATATGTCTACTGTATTGATATTAAAAATAAATGTGTATACATTTTACTTTGCTTTATTAAAAAGCCGAAAATATGTATTTTATCTATATCTAATATGTAAATATCTCGTGTCACGGTATTTGTGGTCGCACTCCTACGAAACTGATATTTTTTGTATATTTGGTAGGTATGAGAGTAGGTCGTAAAGTATTTTTTACTTTTCTACCCCCACCCTCCGTTTTTTAATCGCCATTTTTGTATTTTTGTATGAACAATATTATATAAATAGGTACATAAGTATATGATCAATCTACATTTATAGATTGAACGCGGGCGTAGCCGAAGTTTCTGGTTATATGTACATATATAAAGCCTAAAGATAAAGCTTTCTTTTTAAAATAGAGTCCAAAGTACAACAAGTATTGGTAGTTTGAACAAATAAGCATTAAGGTGACATGATGTTTTCTCTTTGGTTTTTATAAAACCATTTCTACATCTTTGGGATATAATTAAATAAATGTAATGCCGTATCCACACGCTCGCCAAAGTCTCGACTAGTTATCACAAATGCATGTGGAAAGGGCATTTAGCTGAGCTTGCGTAGGTTTGCAAACACCGTTCCGATTGTGTCAGTTTTTTTTCACAAATCAAAAGAAATTTGCGGTGATATATCTACATGTTTGTAAATAAAGATTTGAAGTTTTGTGGTGAATGGCAAACGTGTGGACACGGCATTATGTAATATACATATTACATACATACTCATATCTAAAATTTACAACAAATGCAATTTTAAAATTGACAAATTAGAACATTAACTCGTTACACTCAGATCAAATACTAATATGTTTAAGTAGTCTTATACAAAGTGCTCTTTTACTTGTAATCTTTGAAATAAATTTCATATAATGTATAAATAAAAACAGATGCTTCTTTAGAATTTATAATATATGAGATATTTGAATTAATCTTGTAAGATGAAAGTATTTTTTCTCTCTATATTTAAACAAGTAAGTAGTGAGAGAAATCGACATTTACAAAGAACAACATTGTACCTCAGAGTTGCAACAATGAACAGTTTAAACCTAGAATTATATATCTATACAGATAAATAAAATTGAAGTGTGTGTTTGTCAAACCATGTCAAAATAACAACTTTTTACTAAATACATATTATGAAATTATATACGGTACTTATAAGAAAAACACAATTGTCAACATTTTTGTATGTCTGTCTGTTTGTTTGTTCCGGCTTATCTCCGAAACGGCTGGACCGATTTTGACGAAATTTTTACTGGCAAATAGCTAATGTTAAAAGGACTGTTATATTAAAAGGCAAATTTGTTGGAAATAACATATTGTTTGGAGTGCAATACGAAGACCTATACAAATATGTAAATAATTAAAAGTAGGCCTTCATGAGGTGATAGAACTTCAAAACAAAAAAATAGATATATTTTTTTCTCTTATACAAAATATTACTTGACGTTGAAATGAGATTCACAGTCATGTTAAAATATGACATGTCTAAAACAAGCTTTCTTTTTTACAAATAAATGCAATGTGAGAGACTTAATAGAAAAAAAAGTTATGTATAAATATATAATAGTAATAATTTAATATACATTTTCACCATTATTTTTATAACTTTTTTCGTCACACATTTTGATACTGGCACATATAAGTTAATATAAGGAAAAACTAAAGCGCTATCTCCACACAAATTTTCCCATTTAATTCCCAGCATGCTAACTTCCAGAACGTTCTCCAAGTCCAACACTCAAACCAACACTTGTTCAATCACAACAAATACATATACAATCGGAACATATAATGTGAATGTTATTTCCAATGTCTTGAACCACTTTCACTTATCACTTATATTAAAATAGTAACTTCGAGTCCATGTTGAATTTGTGTATTTTATCACAAACATCGTCTAAATTCTTTTTATTGTCGTACGGTGGACATATTTTTATTCTCCTCTCGCGTTTTTCCGTGTACATTTCTATGACACCCCATTGGCGAAGCAGTCTTAGGCAATTTCTGATAGCATCTGTCGATACCGCCTCACCTGTAATACATTCAATTAATCAAATTAATATTATAAATGCGAAAATTTGGATGGATGTATGTTTGTTACTCAATCACGCCAGAACGGCTGAACGGATCTGGATGAAATTTGGCACAGAGATAGATTATAGTCTGGAATAGCACGTAGGTTACCTTTTATCCCGAAAAAAGTACGATTCCTGTGGAATAGATTTGTTTTTGGTTTAGTTGTATTAATAATAATGAATTATGTGATTCAGAATTATCAATTGGAAATTTAATAATATATAATGAATTAACAATGGAAAAAACTATAAATATTAATAGTATAGGCATTGTATAAAACCCATTCAGTAGACAATCACCCGTGGATTTTAATAAAAATGCTATAAAACGCATGGGTTGTCAAAAATACCAAATTTAATATTTATGCGAATATAATAGCACTAGCGGACCCGACAGACGTTGTCCTGTCTACACGTCTTTAATTTGAAAATTTCAAACTTTTTTTAATAATTTTTTTATGAAAATTATTATTCAAATTGTGAATCTAAACCATTCCCAGATCCCCCTGAACACACACAAAAAATTTCATCAAAATCGGTCTAGTCGTTTGAGAGAAGTTCAGTGACATACACACTCACAGAAGAATTATATATATAAAGAAGATAAATAGGAAAATCACGCTACTATTTTTGCTTGTCACATTTTTTTGCACCATCCATATAATGCTTTAGCCTGTGGGAACAACAAACATTCAAAACCGATCCAATAAAAGCAAATAAAAAATTGAACATAACAAACCGTAAGCCATTTTATTCTGTGAAAAGTTTTCAAGTAACATATCCAATGTAGAAGACACTATTTCCTTCTGTGACGCTGAACGCAAGCTGTGGCAGGTCGCCGAGTACGCCTCCAGCAATGGACGGATCGTTTGTAGTAGACGACGACTGGAAATAGTATAAAAAATTAAAGAATGCGTGTGTGAATGTGTACACGCGCAAAAAGTAAAACTTCTCTAGGTTATCGGTACTCTTTATGAAATTCTATTTATATTTTAAATAATTAGGATAGGTGAGATACTAAAAATAACGCATATTAGGCATATTACAAACATATATTAATAGAATATAATTTAAGGTATATATCATTTGTCAGACAACAACAACGGTTACCATGGCAACGTACGTACATTTTTTTCGTAACGCATTCACAAGCTTACCCCCCATGTCAAGCGTGCGTAGAGAAGTTTTATTTCAATAAATGACAATACGTTTGGCTCAGTTTGTAGTGACCCTACTTGCTGTGCCAGCGGTCGCGAACGACGCGGTTAGACGTTTCAAAAACTATTATATAGTTGTCATATACGGTATATACCCCCAAATTTATAAAAAAAAATGGAAAAAAATAAAAAAATGGAAACAAAGTGCCTTCCAATAATATTTTTTGTATTTCATAAAACATTTTTATAACAAAAAAAGAAAATGATTGATTAAAATTATTATTTATTTAAAATACATATAGATATTTCGTATGGTTTGTATCTTAAAGAATATAATGTGAGGAAACCTGCATTTCTGACAGAAAAACTATTTTTCCAAAGACACGTGAAAGTAGCATAATTATTCTACTGCAATGGAATCCATGGCCCAGAGTAGCGCAGTCTTATTGAAAATCTATTAATTGCTTGATGTTTATAATTATGTTATTGAGATTACATATTATAAAGGAATTTTGACAAAATTAGAAAAAACAGCAGAGTGGACCTTGGAGCAACCCCATGGTTGTTGTGGTCTGCTTCAGCAGACTCGCCGTCGGGGCGTCATGATTGAGTGCGTAACCGATCCTGCGACTTCCCAATAATACGGGGGAGGTTGTGTTAGATTTTATTGGGTAGTACTGGCATTTCATAACGTAAATTAAAGTACCGTTCAGAGAGAGCAGCCGGTGTGTCGGACACGTGGTACTTGATGTATCGCGTGGGATCGGGCCGTTCCTCTTCATCGTCGTCGTCGAAGGTGTGCGCGAAGCGACGCGACCAGCGCTGCTCCTCTAACGCGTCTGACGTCTGGAATAAACTTACTAAGTTATTTATCTATACTAATATTAGAAAGAGGAAAGATTTGACTGATTGTTTGTTTGTACTGAATAGAATTCGAAACTACTGAACCGGTTTAGATGAAATTTTGTAAGAAGACAGTTTGAGAAACTGGAAAGGACATAGAATAGTTTTTATCTCAGAAATCATCACTTAAGGGTGTGAAAATGGGGGATGGAAGTTTGAATGGAGGAGCAACTTAGGGACGAACCCGAACGAGGCGAGGGTGAGTCGCTAGTTATTTATATATGGATTCAATGTAATTAAATTCTCTTGTTAATAGCTTTAAAGCGTGCCACTCGAACACACATTACTTCGCCAATGTCACTAGATTAATCGGTAAGTAATTACAATTAATGTCAGTGTCAATAGAAGAAATTTTATTTGTCGAAAAAAAAACAACAATACATATGTATATGTGTGCGTGTGCGCGTGTATCCCTCTCTCTGTGTACGTTTCTGTGTGCGTGCGTATCCCTCTGTGTGTGTGTGTGTGTGTGTGTCACACACCTGCACGTCGGCGAGCACGTCGCAGGCGCGCAGCGCGGCGAGCGCGTCCAACAGGCGCTCCTCGAGGCGCGTGCAGGGCGCGCACAGGATGAACTCCTGGCTGAGCATCTCACTGAGCTGTAGCGCGGTGTCCATCAGCTCGCGGTGACTCACTGTGGTGCTGGCCGAGTCGGACTGCTGCTGGATGGCTTCCAGTGCTGTCACTGGTGGGTGATAAAGTTTTTTTTTTAATTTTGTCTTTTTTTATAAAACAAGAATAAACCTATCCCACGGAATCGTACATATTTCCGGGATAAAAAGTAGCCTATGTGTTATTCCAGACTATAATCTATCTCTGTGCCAACTTTCATTGGATTCGTTCAGCCGTTCTGACGTGAAAGAGTAACAAACATCCATACTCACAAACTTTCAGATTTATAATATTAATACGGACTAGCGACTTACCCTCGCATCATGTTATCGTTACACGAGTTCTGGAAACTTCATGGGTTTTTTTTTTGGCCTAAGTTATTCCTTATGATACTAGTTATTCAGCAATCAGTGAAAGTTCAGTCTAAATCAATCCAGCCGTTTTGGAGATTAGTTGAAACAAACAGACAAACATTTCAAAAATTGTTTTTTTTTCTTATAATTAAATCTGTACATTAAATAAAATTGTAACTAAGCCGAATCTGTACATTAAATATTTTTGTTTTAAATCTTATTGAAATGAACATTATTATCGATACCTAGGCCGAATCTATAGTTTTTAGAATTTTTGTCTGTCCCTCTTTCTGTCTGTCTGTCTGTTACCGCACTGGAGGGATTTTGATGAAATTTGGTATGGCGATAGTTGGTTATCCGGGTCAACATATAGGATACTTTTTACCGCGGGAAAATATCTCATTTCTGAGAAAAAATACAAAAACTGCATTGTAAGAGTATACTAATATGTAAAACCTAAGAATTTGGTTTTTGGTCATCTGAACGCAGGCGGAGCCGCGGGCATTGCTAGTACCATATATTCTTTCACATGTATTTAGTAAACGTATTTTGACATTACATACAGATATTTTATTTATTTGTATACATGTATAAATAACAATAATTATGTCTTCCTGACTAATTTCGGGCATGGTGACTATGATATTAACTTCACGACTCAGGATAGCAACCGAGAATTCCTTGGCAAAAAACCCAATATCTATACTTGATCCGACCCAGAACTCAAACCCAAGCTTTCTTGATCTGCAGCATACAGTATACATAGTAGCCACTAGCAACATTCACTTTCGTTCATTTGGTTCAGTTTCATTCGATACAGCGCCATCTATTGACGTTTCTTTGAACTAATCTATCTTTTATTATCATATATTTAAAATAATCTCTTCTTCCAGTGTAAATAACTTACCTAATATAGCAGGCGCAGCATAATGAGCAACAAGTGCATTCCCATAGTATGACAGTTCGAGGGCGGCCGGCACACTCGCTTGAGGTCGCACTATTTTGTTAGAACCGCTCCCTTCTATCCTTACTAGGGAACTGCCTAGAGTGTCCAACTGAAACAGAAATTAATTCATTTTATTAGGATTAGAATATCTAATTTTGACATGAATTTATATTACGATTAATAAAAATAAAAAATAAATTAAGTAGTTAATATGTGTTCACGATTTCGAATTCTTGTAATCTTTAGGTTAATTTTATCTATTATAAATATTTGTTAGAAATAATTTAAATTAAAATATAAATTTAACATTTCATATATTATTGTTTTAAAGCCGGAAATGTAATCAATGTTGTGTATGCCTATAATTAATGCTTGTACTAGTAATAAGTAATCATATAATATAATAATTTAGAATGTAGGTACAATATATTGTTGGCATATCTTGTAAATAAATAAATAAATAAATATACTAATCACTTACCCTCACTTGGCTCGGGTGCGTCTATTTAATAAATCATTTTAAGAGGAATTAATAATACATTTGATTTCCGTAATAAATTGTTTTCATATAACTATTTATACCAATATTATAAAGAGGTAAAGTTTGTGAGTTTGGACGTTTTAGGGGGTAATCTCTGGATCTACAAAACCGATTTAGATGTAATTTGGTAAGAAGATAGTTTCAGACCCTGGGAAGGACATAGGATACTTTTTATCCCGTAAATCATTCCTTAAGGGGATGAAAATATGTATGGGGAATCAAGCTAGGGACGAACCCGAGCGAAGCGAAGGTGAGTCGCTAGTTAGATAATAAGGTCCTAGATAATAAGGTTAGGTATTAAGGTCGGCATGATTTTTTTCCGACGTCTTCGTCAGTTATCGTCATATTTCAGCTAATTTTGCATAAAATCTTAATGAATTATACACAAACCTTGCTCATGACTCATTCTATCACTTAGTAAAAACCAAATGAATATCCGTTCGGTAGTTTTTGAATTTATTGCGTTCAGACAGACAGACAGATAGACGCGGTGGAGGAACTTTACTTTATAATAGGTTGTGATTATAAGCATGTCGATTTGAGTTTGTGAATATTGTAACAGACCAAACACACGTTAACACGTTCACACGTTCTAACAGACCAATATTATTGGTCTGTTAGCACGGAAGCGTATTTTAAATTGTAAGTTACTTCAGTGCCATTTCTTTTTTCCTACAAATTACGATACGCGGATGGAACCGAGAATAAACGCTAGTTCGATATAGGGAAGATACTTCGATACTAGCAGCAGGACCGACACGATACTCTCAGACTAACCTCGGTCCAACCCGGTATTCGAACCCAGGACTTTCAGATGTGTCTAGTTCACCCACATATAATAGCAGTCCAAGCTTCTACTCAAATCTTAGTACATATTAGCGATTCACCCCGCTCGGGTTCGTCCCTAGGTGATTCTTTAAATTGACGTAACTTTTTTATTTATGAATCGATTGACATAAAACAAATACTAAATATTAAATTAAGCTTACTACAATATATTAGTGTAAACCGCATCCAAATCAGTTAAACCGTTTCTGAGATTAGCACATAAACGCACTGACAAACAGATAAACCGACAAACAGACAAGCATTCTAAAAAACATTGTTTTGAGTTCTATTGCATAAATAAAGACCCCTCAATGATAGTTTTTCTCAAATATCTTCTATGTACAGACAGCGAACAGTTACACTTTTATTATTTGTATGTATAGATAACTCACAGCTCTCTTCACAACCGCCGGTGTATCCCCAGTATACCCTATATCCCGGCCATCCCGCTTGAGCGCCTCCCCCCGGGCAGCCACCATCCCTTGTAGGGCGGACAGGGAGCACCCCTTCCTCTGTTCAGTTAACAGCACGTAGGCCACTACATTTGTGCACATTAGAGCCGTTGACTGAGCTGCATCTGTTTGAAAATAAATATATTGTATTGATTAGATTGTATTAGGTATATTCTTTATTGATTTTCTTAGATTAAAACGAATATTTTAAATGAAATATATTTTAGGACGTTTGTTGCGATTTTATTTTATATATTTGTTCCCGACTTTTCGAATACTCTACAGAAAATATGATCATGGTAGTCTTTCCCGTGACCATGTTCCCGGTCGAAATCCGCGAAAAAACCGAAAATATAGTTCAGAGAAGTACCGAACTATTTTATTTTATAAAAATATATACACTATATGTATGTACAATATTTGTAAAATAGAACCAAATGCAAAATCAAACTACATAAATTTGAAAACTCAAACTCTTTCAACTAACATCAAAATTTCAAATCCTTAAAAATATATTTAAAATAACTCTAAACCGTATAGCATTATATAGAGGAAACAGAAAATATTCATAAAATATTTGAGTCATAGACAATTTCGAGTGTACTAACCATAAACAAGATGGCGTCCAATCGCTTCTACCATCATTTTATGCTCTGTGCTCACATCCGCTCCGAACAAGCTGCTGTGGCTGTGGTTGTAGAGGATCTGTCTGTCCAAATTAACTGCCAAGTTGTTGTCGGGAGGCGCGAGGGTCTTGTCTATGGGGCCTTTCAAAAAGTTGTACTTTTGGAATGACGTCACTAATTCCTGTAACACAATTTGTTAAGAATTTATAATTTATAGAATTTATAATTCTATTATAAAGAAAAAAAGTTTAGAACAAAGAACTTTAGAACAATTGTATAATTAGACTTATAAAAAAGATTCTGCTGTTACATAAATGAAACATTTAAGATTGAGGTCACTTTTAGCGATTTTAACCTAGGTTGTTATTATAAAGTCACTTGGATGTGCCACCTCTGCTACGCAGATGTGCTTTTGTTTTTAATATCTAGAGATGTTGGAAATCTACATTTGGTCTCTTCTGTAGAGTCTCCACTTAGAATTCCAGTATGAATCCTGACAAACCTAACCAGTTTTCGAAAGATATGTACAATCCGCCAACTAGTATTAGTCAGTCAATAAGTTGGTGGATAATATTTTAATCATCTATAAAGATATATAAAATTGAAGTGTTTGTTTGTAAGGTTTAAATAACAGCGTTGTACTAAATGCATTTGAAATTATATACGAAACTTATTGTAAAAACACTATTAAAATTACTCAAACAGGTGGGAAATTCAAAGTAGTTGAAACGCAACGCCATTGGTCAGACCGAACAATTGACGTCAGAGTATTATAATAACAGAGCATTTACCGATTTTTTCGCTCACAAATTGAGTCGTCATTTCTCTGTGTATATCATGCTGTGACGTCACGCTAAGCGCGCGAAATAGCGGGCGTTAAAGTATCCGTAATGGTATGATATTTAAAAAAATATTATACTAAATTTTTATTTTTTGGAGCTGGATGTTTTTTTTAAATTTTAACACGATGTAAGCTATTGTATAAAAAAAAAGCAGTCATGAGGACTGCCGATAGAAGTAAAAACTTAAAACTATAAACAAACAGTTGTTATTTTGGGATATTCAAATTATTTGATCTTAAATAAAAATTTGTAAATTAAAACTGTTTACGTTTATCAGGTTTTGACATCTATCGGCACTCTGAGTGTTAGCGTTAACACGTCACGTGACCATGTCGATGACGACTTACATAAATATACTCCACATCTAAACCTGCCTATAAAAGTTTTCACTTCAAAAGTCATGCATATTCCCTATTATTTCCAACTCTTATCGCTTTCACACCGAACTCACCTTAAGAGATATCGGCTGGTTGAAGTCCACACGTATCGCACCATGGTTGGTGTTGAGGGTGCTCCATATGCCGCGCAGCGCCGACCAGAAGGTCTCCATCTGCTTGGGCATGCCGAGCTGCTCGCGCACGAAGTTGCCGTCCACGAGCCGGTCGTAGTTGAGCGTGACGGGCACGAGCAGCGCGTCGTCGATTGTACCGTCGAGGTACGCGTCCGTTATCACCGATAGGATTCCCGCTGGAATTTTTGTATTGTATTTATTATAACCGAGACTATTCGCAGAATTTACGGGTCTATTATATAATATACAAACAAAAACCAATCTGTCACACGGGAACCGTACATTTTTCCGGGATAAAAAGTAGCCTATTTGTTATTCTGATGTATGAACTATATTATTATAAGGTTTCATTAAAATACAATCAGTAGTTTTTGTGTACTAAGCTGTATAAGTTATTATAGTTTTTTAACTATTTCACGGGAACTCTTTAATTTTCTGGGATGAAAAGTATCTCAAATGTTGACCGGGGATGTAATGTACCACCATGCAAAATTTCATTTAAATCGGTTCAATAGTTTCAGAGATTAGCCCGTACAAACAGACAAACAGACAAAAAAACAAAAAAATTTGAAAAATTCTAGATTTGTTGTATTTCTCTTCTTACATCCCCGTGATGCGATTTTTAGCATATTTTTTTCTACGTACAGACAATCGACCTGTACAGTTTTATTATTAGATCCGTAGACCAGGCGAATGGTCACTTCGATTTATTATAACTAGTTTCCTTTGCGACTAAACTCGCGTATTTATTTACAAGTAACGATTCGCCATGGCTTTGCTCGAATATGTAACCGAGGGCTAGCAGTAGCCTGTGTCACTCCAGGTCATTCATACTAATGTTATAAAGTGTTTGTTTGTTTGTTTGTTTGTTTGTTTGTTTGTTTGTTTGTTTGTTTGTCCTTCTTTCACGTCGAAAAAGAGTGATGGATTGGCGTGATTTTTTTGTGTGGAGATAGTTGGAGGGCTGGAGAGTGACATAAGCTACTTTTTACCGCGGGAGATTATCTTATTCCCACAGGAAAACACGTAGTATTGCTCTTCAATACATATAATTAAATACGTGTTTTAGCATTTTTAGCAAATTAATCCCATAAGTGGATTACAAAAGCCGCGGGTTCTTTATTTATATTATTATAGTAATTCTATATGTGTGCTTAGTTTTATCCAAATTCGTCCAGCCGTTTTAATATGAAGGAGTAAATACATGCATACATACATAAACATACACACGGGCGGCACCTAAATTAGTTGCAATAAATAATGAAATGTGTACACAATGGCAGTCACTACATTTTAAAGATAATAAAAAAAAAACAAAATACATAACATATTATGGTGACTATTATATTTAGAAAACTCATACTTACCCTCAGAATATCCTTTTCGTACGCAACAAACAAAAGAAGATAGTTAAGAAACTATTTATTATAAGTAATATATATATATATATATATATATATATATATATATATGTATATATATAATATATATTTGTATATGTATTTAATTTAAAAAAAACTATATTTTATTACCTTTTGGCAGTTGTGGTTTCCCAGTCCTGGTCCGTCCGCCTTCAATGAAAAATTCCAAGTTATGATTGGCTGCTAAACTGTTGAGAATGTAAGCTCTGAAACAATAATGATTTTTTAATTACTTAAATTTCAAAATAAAAAATATTTAGATTAATTAAAGACACCAATAAAAAATCAAAAAACTTTTCAGATAGAACTTCCATAAAATATAACTATTATTCAATGACTTTTCTTTATTGACCAAACTTATAAATTGTCAGTCCTATTTTGACCAAACTTATAAGTTGTAAGTCCTCGTAAGACGTCACGTGTTCTGAGGTGACAAAGGAATATTTTCGCGGCACTTGTATTCCTTTGATGACCAACCCTATTGAAAAACTCTAATTGGATCATATCAAAAGCGACAAAAGCCACATACAAACCAATAAATATTTATTGGTCTCTATGTGGCTTTTATTGGTTTCTATGTGGCTTTTGTCGCTTTTGATGAGATCCTATTGGAGTTTTTCAATAGGGAAGGGACACATGGGTCCCACGAAATTCTTTAATAAGTAAAAAAAAAATGGTTGAATTCTAAATATTATGTAAATTTAATCCCTACTGAACCATATTCTATAAGGTTCTGAAGGGGTTAAACAAATTAAATAGCAACATAGTTTTTGGTACACATAAAATTTTATTAACATAAATTAATATTTTTATATGAATCTATGATAATTAATAGTTAATTTAAAATCTAACCTAAACATCTATCCGTTCCCCTATTGTTTCGCAAATCGTGTAATTATTTTAATGACTCTTGGTACGATGTAAAACATCTCGAATTTTCCATCAGGGCGGTGTCGTATAAATTCCAACAGTAAGTAATAACATTAAATAAATAAATATCCTAAATTAGATGATACCTGATTACTAGGTGGTAATAATTAATTAGGCAGTGGTAGCCCAGTGGTAACGCGCACGTTAGGGAAACCGAGTGAAGCGGGTTCAAATCCCTTGTCTCGCACCTCTGATATTTTCATGTGCGAATCATTTCCAACATGATTACCACTTGTCTTACGGCGAAGGAAAACATCGTGAGGAAACCTGCATGTCTGAGAGAACCTAGCAAGTTTTCCAAAGACATGCTCAGTCCGCCAACCCGCACTTGGCCAGCGTGATGGACTATGGACTGATCCCCCTCGTACTGAAGGGAGGCCCACCCCCAGCAGTGGGACGTTAGAAAAGGCTGAATACATAGACAATAATTAATTACCTGAGTGCAGATTTGTATATGGGATCGCCGTGATACTCCGACCCGTCCACTCTGCGTCGTATGAAGAAAGCTCCGCAACAACGTAGAAACCACCTGTAAACATATTTTTTTAATATACGGTAAAATAGACTAATATTTATAAATCTATATAAATAAAAATGAATCACCCAAATGTATGTACGCGCATAACTTCCGACTTAAACTTAACTAGAATAAGTTTTTTTTAAATCTCATGATATGAAAAGTGAGTGAGTGAAATAGTTTTATGATAGATGTAAATGCCGGTGTGTTTTGATTTGTATCAGCTGGCACTGACTTCGAAAATATCTGATTAGGTATCTATTCTAAACTACAACCCCCGTTTAGTTATTTTTTAAATTTTAGTGCCTGGAAGTCGGTTTTTTTTGTAAGTTTTTATTTTACCATTTTTTGTATAGACGTAATAAGCAGATAATTTGTAAGAAGAAAGTTTTTTAATAATATATTCGATTAAACCATTTATTTAAAAACAATTTATTAACACAACTCACCCGAAGAAAGGTATCCGCATATTGTCGCCTGCAGCTACCAACGGCGGTCTCAATCCAGTGAGATATAGTGTGAAGGTCACAAGTATGTAGTCGAAGTGAGATCGGTGTAAGGGGACGAAGACCAGTGGTAGGCCCGCGGCTTTGGCCCGACGGAGACGTTCCACACAAGCAGATCTAGTACCACAGCCTCCGCCCGCAATCCTACGCACCGCTTTGTGACATAGCCAGGCTACTAATCTGTAAAAAAAATTGTCGTTTTAATCACTATATTTACTAGTTATGCAGAGACTTCTAAATTATTTATTAAAATGAATACTATCAAGCTGAATCCGCCATTGTATCGCCATTTTGACGCCAAACTTTGTTGACATGTTTTGCGCTGGCCTAAATTAGCTAATTTTTAACCGACTTCTAAAAAGGAGGAGGTTCTCATTTCGTCGGAATCTTTTTTTTTTACATGTCTTCACTATCTCTTGACTATTTATTGTTTACAGCCTTTATAGGATAGTATAATTTATCTATTAGAGGAGCGATTCCTTATATATTATTTTAAGTCTTAGTGAAATTGAATGGAAGCGAAGGTTTAAATGATATTCGATTTTTAGCGATTTTTTTAAATATGAGAATCCATCATATTATCTATACATGTACTAAATTTTTTTATTGAATGTAATGAAGTTTAAATATTAAATAAATAATAAATAAAAGTTCATGTAGTCCAAATATAAATATTTAAAAAAATCAATTCTTTGCCCGCGGTTTCACTCCAATAGTTTATGGAACAAGCTCTCAAGTCAAAGAAACAGATACAACACACACATTCAAAAAACTCACACCCTAAAAAACTTTCGCTTTTATAACATCACATCGGCATATAACTCGTTGTTTAAACGACCAATACGTGTTGTACTTTAAGTAGAGAGATTTTTCCTCTATTTTCAAATCAAAGCTCTATTTTTAAGATTTATATGCATACATAGATAAAATACAACTTCTCGACTTTATTAAAGTAAAATACGTATTTAAATCCAATAGAATTAACAAAAAATCAAAAATTCTGTACTAAAAATAAAAACTCTTTCGGCAAATAAGCACTGAAACGAAGATTAGAAGATTATTTACTATTCGGTAGAATACCGACCAGCGTATAATTAAATTAATTACTTCAAACTAACCTCAATACATTGTTTGACATAGAAGAAGATATATCGCGGAGAACTTTCATAGCCCTTGCTTCGACCCGCTTCCTGACATTAGTGTACGTCTTCCCATCTTCCTCTTCATGTTTTCCGTTCGCTGTTGACTTCAGCTCTTGATGAGTAGTATCTTCTATAGCACGTTGGAAGTGCTCGTCCTTCATAACCTAAAACAAACAAGCAAAGTAAAATTAATGTATAATTTTGGTATAATTTTTTTGGTCATAAAGCCGTGGATTATTTAAATTAAAGAACACAATGGGTAAGATAACAGCAACGTTAAACTATAAAAAACTACTTTGCTCACAAGTCTTAATACTAATTGCTAATAGAATACATAAACATAAATTATGCTAAATCCAACCTAGATATTTCATTCACAATTCAAACAGAACCTTTTCAATAAGTTGGTAATTTAGTATACAACAAAGCGAATACAATGACAACAATAAGTATGACTATAAATGAAACACTTGAAAGATTAACATTACAAAATCATGAATACAAGTTACTTACGCTAGGCAATATGTCCTTATAATCATATTTAATTAGATGCACACACTGCGCCAGATCGCACAAATAACGTGAAACAACACCTCCATTAGCGAACGTCTGTCTTCCAATATTCAGAATGTTTATGACTGACCCAGATTCTTCAGTTTTAGGATCCTTCCAAGACTCCTGTAAAAAATTATATTTTTTTTATTTAAATCATGATAATATCATAAAGAGGTAAAGTTTGTAAGTTTGTGAGTTTGTTTGTAGGAAGTAATCTCTGGATTTCCCGGGGGAGAAGCCAACTCCTACCGGGCGCGTCCCCAGGTGGCGGATAAGGGAATGCCACCCGCTTAGGGCGGCGGGTGGTACCGGAGAAATCCGGCGCGGACCAAATGGCTTGGTTGGGGCCGCTCGTCTAGGCCTCGAGCCGAAGACGTTGCGGCCACCGGTGGTGGGACCGCTTGGTCCCACAACCGGATGATGGGTGCCGGTTGCGGGACTGTGGTCGCAGGCCCGCATCCGGCGGAGGGGTAGGCCGCGGCGGGAGAGGAGTGCCGGTATTTCGGTGCGCCGTTCTCCCTACCTTCCGCGGCCTAGACGGGGCCGCCACCCTTTGATGGCGGACGCGGTGGGGCTGCAGGGGAAGAGGAGTGTCGGTGTTTCGTTGCCGCTCTCCCTGTCCTCTGCAGCCGATTGGAGGTGGCCTACTTCGGTGTGCGGTGGTTAGGTTTAATGGGGCTGCTCCGGGTACCTCTCTGGCGTAGCAGAGTTGACTGTGGAGCAGCTCCATTGGTTTGGTGGTCTGCCTAGCGTTTAGGCAGACCTGCCGCCGGGGCGCCGTAGTAGTTATGCGCAAGCGATCCTGCGGCGTCCCATTAAGGCGGAGGGGAGGGGAATAAAATCTTCTTCTCTGGATCTACTGAACCGATTTAGATGTTTGGTGAGAAGATAGTTTGAGACCCTAGAAAGGACATAGGATAGTTTTTATCCAGGAATTCATCCTTTCAGGGGGTGAAAATGGGAATAAAAGTTTGTATGGGGAATCAAACTAGGGACGAACCCAATGCATATTAAAATGATTTTATTTATTAATATATTTAACTATAATCGAGATTTTTCGTTTAGAAATACACAGTTACGTACTACGCATTTGTTTCTCATGTCCAAATAAATCTTACTAAAAACTTGTCTTAATTATATATGTCCAAATTATAGATCGTAGTTATAAGATAACATAATTATGCGAAAGATTATATAGAATCACTTTTTTTTCGCTTTTATAGTTGGCCACCTGACACGACCGTAAAAAGGTCAAGGCAACTTAACCCAAATCCAGCCTGATTGTTGAGATCGTTTTGACAGAAAAACTCAATAGCTTATTTGACCCGACCCGGAAATTTAACCTTGAACCTCATAATGTACATGTCAGCCACTAGACCAACGGCAGTTACGAAACATTGAGTATAATGTAGATCAATCAAATCAAAATATTTTATTCAGCATGAAATTATTACAGTTTTTTACTGAACGTCATGAGTCTACTACCAGTTCGGAAAGAAGAAGCCTCAGACCTGAGAAGAACTGGCGAAAGAACAACAAATATCTTTCTTGTCTTTGATAATATCATTGATATAAAAAAGAATTCAAAGGATTTTACTAATCTGTTTAAACATAACTAGATTACTCATTCATATACGAGTATATTAGTGTACTTAGTTAAGTACATAATTATGGAAATTTTTGTTTGGTGAGTAAATGGAGAAGTTTTCTAATGTTAATATCATATTTAACGCAATGGAATTGTAATGTAGATAAAAACTAATAAATAAGTGATTTTTTTTAAATCTACCAAATAAATGACTGAGAAATTAATTTAAATTTCGAGCGTTCAGGTCGAGTGACATCACCAAATTATTCTTACAAGCGCAACTTGAAAGTTTCATAACTTTTTTATTTGTTGAGATATTTTAATAATTCTTTCATATTTTTGTTGATATTTTATTTAAATTTTTATAATACATTAAAAAATCGAGAACTTTTCCTTAAGGATTATTAAGTAGGTACATAATACATGTATAGAATCGTAAATTTTACTTAAGAACGTGACTATGACGTGTTCTACTTTTAATGAGAAAATTTAAAAAAAACTGGTTAAAAACAATGGCAAATTGATTTTTATTTTATCTACATATGTGTTTAAAAAAACTCAGCTACTTGTTTGCTCTTCTTTTATGAACCTACCTTTTTTTATGGTACCTAGTCTTATCTTTCAGTGATTTATACATATGTATTATTTATTATAGTCTGGTCGAAAAAAAATCTGTGAATTTCGCCGCATTTCCGCCGTACTTCGTACCGCGATCGGATATTATTTAGTACCTATAGTTGTCGACTACATAGTATAATATATTAATAAGTAGTACCTACCTACATTCAATTTTAACTTTATATTAAGATATTAAATTTTATTTTCGAAATTAAATTTTTTACTTGAATTTAGGCATTTAACACGATAAATCTGCCCAATAAACTGGATTCCTAAGTAAATTACAGACAAAAATTATTTCACAATAAAAAAAAAATTATTACAAATTTTCGAAATAAGCCGGTCCCTTTAATTGGACTTAACTTGCGTAAATTACAGTTTACAGTATAAAAACAAAAATTAGCAAAAAACAAATAAACACGTTAACCAACAAACCGTGTAACTAATAAGTAACATTAATTAAATGAATACATTAATTTCTTATTTACGTTTTATTGTTAGATTAGATTAATTGGCAACAGTGAATACGTACTTATATGAATATAAAATATGCCTAGCGAGTAGGGATGGAACATTTCACGAGTAGCAAGTGAAAAATCACGTGAAATGCGTAATCATACGTCACACCTGCTACTTAAATTCATAGTGGCTGCTACAAATCACAACTTGGTGAAATCTAGAGCTGTAGCAAACCGTATGTATTCGTTACTGAGTAACGGGTACGCCATCTAGTACCGAGTACCGAAACGTTACTCACGAATGCATTTCGTTACTCGCATTTTCCGTATACATTTTCGTACTGATGTTTTTATTGATTTTTTATTCAACAAAATACAATTTTCAGTTAATACCGTTGATCAGAAATTGGGGAGTTTATTTATTTCGAGTTGCATGATTTCGGATTCTTAGAAATATTGTTTAGAAATAATTTTAAATTAGAAACAACAATTAAATTTAGAGCACATTTTTAGTTTTTTATCCAACAAATACTTATAATTTTTACTGAATGATTATGTGTAATACGTACAGACATAACCACCAACGCTGAACGAGCTAGAAATGTTAATTAATGAACCAGTGCTTCCGCGCGATTCTTCGCCATTAGTTTGGTGGAAATCTCACTCCTATATGTACCCCAATTTGGCGGAAATATTTCATGAGCACTGTCACATCGTGGTGACATCAGTGGAGTGTGAGAGAGTATTTTCAAAAGCGGGAAATTTTGCAACCCAAAAAAGAGCACGATTAAGCAGAAAACGAACAGCGGAACTTGTATTTTTAAAAAGCAATGAAGACTATTGTATATAGATATCTCATAAAAAAATCAATCATCAAAAAAATCAAAAAGCAAAAAAAATGATTATAAACAAATTAAAAAAATTAAGAAAAACAAAAAAAAAGTGTATAAAATTCTTTTATAAAAATTGTTATTGTACATAAAAACAATGAACTTTTAAATACGCCAATGTAATTATGGAACTTAGCTTAATACAATTTTACCGTGTGATTACTCTGATATATTTAAAATTCATTTAATTTTACATTGTCAGTCCCAAGCCTGTAGAAGTATGAGGGAAAGTTCATTGTTTGAAAATAGGTTTATTCAAAGCACCATGTACGTATGCAACTACGTCAGATCTATATCTCTGCTCCATATCACATCAGTAGCGCCATTGATGACATTTCATACTTCATTTTAATAGCAAATAATATAAAGTGTGACACCAGACCGTCGAAATCAAAAATCTATGCGTGAAAAGTAGCAGGTGAAATCACGTGAAAAATTGTTGTAATTTCATCACGTGATAATGATTTAAAAGTAGCAATCATTTCCATGCTTACTAGCGAGGTCGTCGCACGGTGTGCTACGCGTTGGTTGGTCCGCGTATGTCACGCCACCATGTACTGCATGAGTTTAAATTTGTAATCTAAAGCGGCCATTACAACAGATACACATACAATATGAATGAACGATGCACTCGCGTACAATGCACAATGCCAATTAAACACGTGATAATTAAAAATATTTTGTAGGCGCGGCATTTTCATATAAGTAATTAGTTTTTTTTTATAAAATAAAAGTAGTATAAAAAACTTAAAACAAATCGACTTTCAGGCACTAAAATGTAAAAAATTACTAAACGATGCAAAGCTAATCTAATATATTTTGATATGTAAAACCCATACTTACCCATTAGATATTCATATCTTAAAATATAGTCGGCTGGCACCGACTTCGAAAATATCTGATTAGGTATCTATTCCAAATGGAAAGCCCCTTTAGTTATTTTTTACATTTTAGTGCCTAGAAGTCGGTTTTTTTAAGCTTTTATTTGTCCATTTTTAGTTTACACGTAATACGCAGGTAATTCGTTAGAAGAAAGTTTATTAATAACATGTTCGATTAAGTAATTTATTTATAAAAATAGTTTATTTGTTGATTTAAAAAAAAATCCGCTTGACCGATTTCGATAAAATTTATATGGGAATACTTGGGAAGTATACCCTTTGAAATGAAAAAAAAACAAATCGGTTCAGGCGTCTTCGAGTAATCGGTGAACATATATAAAAAAAACCTCCTCTTTTTTGGAAGTCAGTTAAAAAACTAATTTAATTTCTCAGTAGTTTTCTACAGCTTTTTATTTTACCTTGCGTAAATGTCGAAACCACTCAATAACCGAGCGTCTGAGTTTGACCTTATTAGAATATCCATTGTGTAATTCACACATTATAATTTACTTATTTAGGTAACGTTTTCAATCGTCAAAGGCGACTAATACTATTCCATCAAAACAAATTGTTCAATAGTTCAAACGAATTTCATTATTCGGATTGGTTTTGTATAAAAACAAATATTGGGTTTGATATGTATGTATGTAAGTATGTAGTAAATAAATAATAATTAATGATTGTTAAT